TAGAATGAATTTGGAAGTATTTCCTACTCTTCAATTTCTCAGAAGAGCGTAAGAAGAATGAGCACTAATTCTTCTTTGCATGTTCAATAGAAGGCATCAGTGAAACCTCAGATTTGGGCCTTTCATTTTTGGAAGGTTTTTGATGATGGATTCAGAATCCTTATTCATTGTTGGTCTATTCAGATTTTCTTATTCTTCATGATCCAGTCTTGATAGGCTATATGTTTCTAGGAATTTATTCATTTCTTCCAGGTTATCCAATTTATTGGCATATAATTGTTTATAGTAGTCTCTTATGTACCTCTGTATTTCTATGGCATCAGTTGCAATGTCTCCACTTTCCTTTATAATTTTATTGATTTGAGTCTTCTATCATTTTTTGTTTTAGTTGGTCTAGCTAAATGTCTGTCAATCTTGTTTATATTCTCAAAAAGCTAGCTTTTAATTCTGTTGATACATTCCATTGCTTTTCTTGTCCGTATCCCCTTTATTTCTGCTCTAATTTTTTTTTTGAGTCAGATCTCACTCTGTTGCCCAGATTGAAGTGCAGTGGCATGATCACAGCTCACTACAGCCTTGAATTCATGGATTCAAGTGATCCTCCTGCCTTAGCCTCCTGAGTATTTGAGACTTCAGACACATGCCTCCATACTAAACTTTTTTTTCCTCTTCTTCTTTTTGTGGAAACAAGGTCTCACTATGTTATTTAGGCTGGTCTCAAGCAATCCTCCCACCTTAGCCTCCAAAGTGGGATTACAGGCATGAGCTACAATGCCTGGTATCTAATATTTATTATTTATTTTTCTGCCAACTTTGTGTATTACTTTATTTGCATTTCTACAAGGAAATACCTGAGACCGGGTATTTTACAAAGAAAGGTTTATTTTCAATCACAGTTCTGCATGGTGCTGGGCTTCTGGTGAAGCCTCAGGAAGCTTACAGTCATTGTGGAAGACAGAGAGGGAGCAGGTGTATCACATAGCAAGAGTAGGAGCAAGAAGGAGAGAGTAGATGCCAGGTTCTTTTTAAACAACCAACTTTTATGTGAACTAATAGAGTGAGAACTCACTCATTACCATGAGAACAGCACTAAACCATTCACAAGGGATCCACCCCATGATCCAGTCACCTCCCCTTAGGTCCCATCTGCAACACTGGAGATCATATTTCAGCATGAGATTTGGAGATGACAAAAATCCAAACTATATCACTTTGGATTTAGCTTGTTCTTCTTTTTCTTTCTTTCTTTCTTTTTCTTTCTTTCTTTCTTTCTTTCTTTCTATCTTTCTTTGTTTCTTTCTTTCTATGTGTGTATTACTTGAGATGTAAAGGTAGATTGTTTATTTGAGCTCTTTCTTTTTTATTCTATAAGTTTTTATCACTATAAATTTCCCTGTTGAACTGTTTTTGCTACATCCCAAATGTTTTGATATGCTGTTTTCATTTTTGTTTGTTTCAAGTTTTTAAAATTTTTCCTTTTGATTTCTTCTTTGACTCATTGGTTGTTCAGGAGTGTGGAGTTTAATTTTCACATATTTGTAAATCTTCTAATTTTCCTCCTGCTACTGATTTCTAGTTTTTTGTTTGTTTGTTTGTTTTTTGAGTTGGAGTCTCACTCGGTCGCCCAGACTGGAGTGCAGTGGCCGCTCCTGGCCACCACAGCCTCGCCTGCTGGGCTCCAGCGATCCTTCCGCCTCAGCCTTCCGAGTAGCCAAAATTACAGGCATGTGCTACCACACCCGGCTGATTTTTTGATTTATTGTAGAGATGAGGTCTCGCTGCCCAGGTGGGTCTCGAACCCGCGGGCTCAGGCAATCCACTCACCTCAGCCTCCCAAAAGTGCAGGATTACAGGCTGAGCCACCAAGCCCGGCTATATGTGTCTTTCAGGTCCATTGGTCTACAGTGTTGTTCAAGTTTGCTGTTTCCTTATTGCTTTTCTATCTGGATGATCCATCCATTGTTGAAAGTAGAGAAGTGAAGTTCACTAATATTATTTTATTGCTGTCTACTTCTTCCTTTGATTCTGTTAGTATTTGCTTTAGATATTTAGGTGCTCTGATATTGGGCACATATATATTTACTATTGTTATATCCTCCTGTTGAGTTGACCCATTTATCATTATATATAATGACTTTATTTTGTTTCTTGAGACACTTTTTGACCTAAACACTATTTTGCTTGATATAAGCCTAGCCACTCCTACCCTTTTTTTGATGCCATTTGCATGGAATATCTTTTTCCATTGCTACACCTTCAGACTATGTGCGTCCTTCATACTAAAGCATGTCTTTTGTAGGCAGCAGTTAGTTGGAGCTTGCTTTTTAAAAAATCCAATTAGTGCCGGAGTCCAGCTCCAGCCAGGTTCAGGGTACCCCAAAGGTGAAGATGGCATCAGCGATTAGGAGGAAGAAGAAAGAGAGAGAGAGAAAGAAAGAGACTGGACTCCAGTCTAGTGCAGAAGCGATGTGTGTTATTGGGAATTACAAC